TCTATGAGTCACCTTCTAAATATGGCTTTGCTGTATATTGTGACAGAAAAATTGGATGGAGCACTATATTTTCTTTAGTCGTTGTGACGTCCTACATTTATGTAATTCGAATGGAGTTGTGTAGATCGTTGAGTTTTGGACGATATCATGAACCGATCAATGTTAGAACGCTATCGGTAACCTAGGAGCACTACGAGCAACGGCCGTCCAAACATTTCAGGTTTTCGATGGTGGTCTAACGATTCATTATCTCAATTAAAAGATCTTTATTGTGTCCGCGAAAACCCTGTTGTACGATAAAAACGTTCATCATGCTCGATAGCCAGTTTATACCAATTGATGTGAAATACATTACATTTTTGTACTGTTTCTGATTTATTTGCATAAAAACTGACTATATATGGCTACAGCGTCGCACGAGTCTACGGTCACTATTAATGTAACATTACTAGTTATCATATTGGAAATGCAAGCGTCATGAACCATAAATACTTATTCACTGTATCAGATTCCAAGTAGTCCAGATTATTGTAGGTACTTAGTCAGTCGAATTCTATTCCAGGACACTATTTTGCACTCAGACTTAGATTTCCCTGCCGTCATTTTGCATTTTGTCAGTGACACTTTTCTCATGTTTTGAGATGGTGCTTCTCCGCCATTTTTCTGACTTTTCTTTTATGTCTCTGGCAATATAAGTTCTTTAGTTACATGAGCTATGAGTCCTTTACAACAGAATATTACTAGATCTACTCCAAACCACAGGTGCGACAAAACACCACTTTATTGTTCTATTTATCAATTAGACAATTATTTCTGTAGCATCCTCTCCATTAAGTCATGGCGAAGTTGATAGCAGTGAAGTAATTAATGCACCATGAACTTTAATTGCTGATTTTAATGGTTGGCAAGTGAACATGCTTATATATCTAAAATCTACAAAAACCTCAACACTGACTTCTAAGTCTTTGTAATAATTGCAAATTTTATGTAGTGTGTTCAGGGACTTAGTGTGAGTTGTGTTGTCATGCGAAATGTAAAGATATGATGAGAAATGCTTATGGTTGTCACAACTTTGTGAAATTGAAGAATATAATCTATAATCCGACTCAACCAATCCAATGACATTTTGGATTATTCACTGTCTCTACAATGCATATTAGAGTCATTCGTATATTTTAAGTAATCAGAGTTCTCATTTATTATGAAGGAGTCGTCTCTAACCATCCAGGTAATTTATTCTTACTGAAGACATCGACTTCTCTCTGTGTACCAGTTTACGAAGTTGGTATCCTAAACAGAACTCAATGCCAATAACAGAGGAGTAATGAAACACTTCTGTAACTTCAATTTTTTAATAAGCAGCGCCGTTAACGATAGATTTTGCTTATGACTATTAAAAGGCAGAAAAGAAATGTAGTCACCAGCATTCTGAACAGATGGAAAGTCCTTTGTATGAAATAATCGATGAATAACATTCGTTTTTGTGATAGCATTGAACCGACAATGTCCTTAAATGCAGTCTTGTTAATATATCACCACGTTAAAAATGCTAATTTGTCTAGACGTTAGCCAAATTTTGCAACGTACTATCAATGCATACACTGTTAAAATAATGGATATGACCATCACTCAAAGTTACGGGACTTACCTGGTCTGTGATAAGTCCCATACGAGGTGAAAATACAGTAAGAATGAATAACAACCACACCAGTCACTAACACTGACATGGTTGATCATCTTTTTCAATCATTTTCGAACATTGCCAAGCTGTTATTGAGAACGAACGGCGAAAGGTAACAAACGGGTTCGTCATCATGTTGATTATATTCATTTGTTTTTAACAAATTTCGTTCAGATAATGTGCTTAAGAGATATGGAGAGTTAACTTTTTACCCTCGACTTATGCGACTTCCGGTTTTATTATAAGTACTTCGAAACCTACTTATATCGCTATTAGCCAAATTAAGCATCGTAACGCAGAAGTCTAGGTTATTGCGATGGATTTGTAGATCGTCAAAATATTTACCATTTCCTTTAATTTCACTGTGACACTCATCAATTTACTTAATTTTCGTTCAGAACATGGATAAGGACACAGAGTTTACAATAAGGCACAAAGTAACTATTCCAGATCCGTCGAGCGAACGCAGTATCAATCAATAAATTACGAATTATTTTGACAGAGTAAATTTGTTGCTGCATTGCCGTTAGACAGTCTGTATGTGAAATTGAACTCTTCTTAATTTATTCCAGTATCACGTTGTGAGATAACACATAAAGTGTTTCTACACCAACGTAATAGGGCAAAGTGACAAACCAAAAGAAATTAGGGATATGTGTATTCAGTTAGAAATGTCGATATTAGTCCTCACTAACAATTGGTTATCATGGGTCATCATTATTAGGAAGGTGAATCTGCAAGACACGACACTTTGCCGATACTAGAGGTAACACAAAACGGGAGGTGAATTGGAAATATACATTAAAAGCCAATTCAAATCCACAACACCATACATTGCCGAATTAACCGAGTTGACACATTAACCAGCTTGTGGTAGAGTATGTCCACGACCACGGACTAAATGGAAGTATTAGCCCTTGTGTAGTTATCTTGAAAGCGGTCACAAATGAGGAACTGTGAATTGACGAAAATGAAGGTGCGCCTCGTGGTCATGGGAGTAGTGAAGCCGAACACTGAATAATCACTGGTAGATAGGAATAAAACTCAATACATTACCCGAAACCATGGACCTAAGGGGTAAAATAGACATTGAACACTTTCCACAGACCAAACCCATAGCTTAACGTTAATGGAAGATTTCTTTGAAACAATCTGATCGCATCTCTAATATTTGCAACTCCATAGATCACGTTGAAAGATGTTTGCAGGTCATGCTAGCAGCTCAAATTAAAGCCACCTCGAAATATCTCTGCCGAATATTCGCAAACTAAGAGATCTGCACTCTAAAATAGCCACATGGCTAAAATCTTACTAGTTTAAAGATGAATTTTGTCTTTAATGAAAACTCGTGAACCGATTAAACCGGAAAATCGAAAGCTCTGAACTCCTTTCAAATCTGCCGCCAGTTGAGAGTCTGGGAGATAAACGGCTAACTCCTGGATTAGTATTGAAATCCTTTCTTCCAGAAAAGCCACCAGAATGTGACGGCATACAACCTATAACCCTGAAACTATATGCGAAAGCCATTGGCACATAAGTGTGTAACCCGATCAGCCACTCATTAGATTCACACCTCTCCAAAAAAGGGAGACAGAAAATATACAACATATTACAGGTCAGTCTCTTTACTCTCAATATAATCAAAGATAATGTAGGTGTAGAATCATGGTCTACTTTCTCATGAGGACCATTATGACAATAAATATAATTCTAAAACTGTAGATTTTTCATGATGCGACTGCCTAGTCTATAAGATGTTTTGCGAAAGTCAGATTATTGTCTGCGCTGACTCATCGTATCTCAACAATTACCATTACGTCTTGATTTCGTAAAGAATACATTTAGGCTAAAGGTAGAGTAATAAATTTGTGTGAGTAAAGACAAGTTATGCAGAAAGGTCATGTCTGCGAGGTTAAGACAAGTCATCCGACATGTTAAATTCAGTATTCATTCTCCATTGTTAACTTTCTCTTCGTGTCAATTACTAAATATATAAATATTTACTAGCCACCGTCTCGTTAAGACCAGCCCATCGGCATTTATCTTTCTAGGCAACAAAAATATATGGAGGCCCAGTAAGAGGGAAAACGAATCACTTGGGCTTCTAACGGACCTTGTAATAACAGAGGAGTGTGTAGTAGATGATATAATAAAGCTTAACCTGTTAAACCGTCATTTCATGAACGGTTTGACTCATTCGACATAACGCACTTACACCACGCATAGAGTCCGTTCCAAATTGCTTATTCAGAGAGTGATCTGGAGCTTGTAGCCAAGATCGATGCAGCCAAGCCAAATGCAACTCTCCACGAAATGTAGAGATAACTACGCATATTCACCACACAGTTGTTCCCAACACTGTCTAAAACATATGATATACCCCACCTTGAGGTTCACAATACCACCGCGTCATTTCCCTTCAAAATAGATGTAAATCTCTTACACCAAGTATAGGTTTGGGCAACCAAGTGGGTAATAGGGTGGAAGCACAAATCTTTTGAAGACAGACTCCAGCACCTGAGAATTTCCTCATCCAGCTGTAGGAGAATAAGAAGTAAATTGATATCGGCATACAAAATATTAAGTATTCCGAGATACCCCAACACCAGCATATTAATAGAAAATCACCACCACTCTGCTCAAGATACCACTCGAAATACTGAACGTCAAAGAACGAACAGTCAATTATGCTCTCACATTTCTCATTAAGAGTTGTAACCATTTGGAATGCTCTCCTAGCTGAAGTGAGCACAGCATCCTCAGTGGATAGCTTTAGGAGGAGACTTGATAAACACGTACTCACTCATAGATTGCGATTTCTCTCTCGGTTCAGCTGTGTCTGATGCATGTATCACAGCTCACCTACTGTTGTTTATAATTCATATCAACAACTTGTTTTTACCTCTTATTATTATCTCAGTTCCCTTCTTATTCGTTCTATTCTATCTCCTCACATAATAAATATCAAGCAAATTATTTATTTACAATTGGGACTGTCGTAATCTATTAGCACATTTATCATCACTTTCCCTTTTCGCATTGCGATCAACCAACTTCCTACCTGGTAATAAGATTGCTGCTAGTATCCAGAGTCCATGGAGCTCAGAGAAAAACACACTCAATCGAATTTCAAGATATACAAATCCACAAATAACTAACAAACCAACTAGTATTATTGCAGTTAAGTGGCTAGACTACTACACACTGGACATTATCCAATACCTGGAACTGTACTGAAACAACAAGAAGCGAGCACAGACACCTAACTTTTTGCATAAACTCGTGCCAAATATATTGAATATTGGCTCTAGGTCAGAACATGTTTGTTATGTACCTTCTGTTAACGTGGGTTTTACTGATTTCAAAGTTGTCATGTACCTCAACAGAAAAGTTGCCAGTTATTATCTGGCACGGGATGGGTTTGTTACTTTACGCGGCTTGCTTATTTTGAAGGTGATCGAGGAACAGGTATGGGTATACTGAAGCTAGCTAAAGCGATACAAGTCGAAATACCTGGAACATATGTCAAGTGCATTACCACTAGCGACTCAGTAATTCAGGTGAATGAACTTTTGTCTGTAAATATGTGTTTCTGAATAACTTATCAGAACAGTAATTTATCATAGGAAGTGTTTATTATATGCACCTTATCAAAATGTATATAACCCAGAGTACCAAGTCTACTAAAGCTAAGAATGTAAACCGCTAAATGGCAACTTAGTATTTAAAAAACCCAGTTTTCTTTGAGGGGAGATAGATTTTCAGTGCTTCTAAGTTTTCTGAAGTCTTTCCCCATTGGAAGAACAAATAATAGCTTTAAGAAAGAAATCTTTATGCTATTAAAACATTCGGAACTAAAGATTATATACTAGCTTAAAAGTTCCAAAAACGTGACAAACTACTGTGTTGTTATCTTCGTGGTGTTTGTCGTTAACTTTAAAATAATCTGTGACCTGGGAATTGAGTATACTACTACTTATAATACAACTTAATATTGATAAAATGAAGAAAAACTTTGCTGGCGGTTTTATGTCTCACACACAACGGTTTCGTCAGATCGATTTAGACATCTGCCAGTAGCAAAAGAAATGTAAAGGAATGATAAAGGTAGCAAAAAAATTTTTCGTCACTAAATTTGTTCGCAGTTACACTTTAAGTTCATATCCAGTTTATGAGGAAGATGACCGATTAAATCCTTAAGACATTTTCCATTCAAACGAAATTGAAAAACTATATTCAGAGTGGAGAATTACAAGCATAAATTGCTCTTATTAAAAGCTTGCTTACCTCGTGGTGCTACTTAGCTTTTGAGACGAATAATAAATTTTAAGCGCATAACTCTGGATACTTATGGTTCCATATTTTTTATATTGCAAATTCAAATGACTTTCCAACTTCATGACTTCCTGACAGCAGCTTATCATGGCGAAATCTGTGATCTTCGATTTTCGTTAACAGGATATTAGTTACGAATCAAATCAAGGCGTTCGAAGTCGTGGTTAAAACCCCTTATAAAAATGCTACATTTCAAATGCAAATTCTGCACAACAAAGTTGTGGGTAGAAAGGAAACACACAGCGAACTACAGATGAAGTATGAAAAGGTTGGGTTTCAAATAAGTTGTTAAACAGATTCTTGTAAAATGATTTTGACGAGATCAAATGTTTCTACAAATTTTCTGATCATTATGAAATTTGACTTTTTTACGTAGGTTTTTATGGAAAAAATTATCTCATTTAATTTGATCCAAAATTCACACACACCATCTGATGAATCATTATATTGCCAGCTAACTGAAGTGTATAGTTTAAACTGTTCGTTGAGGATAAGAAAAAAACCTCATGTAAGTTGTAATAGGTTAAAAGTCGGTATATGCAAGTATTGACGTTACTTAAATGATACTGTTGTGTATGTGCAGCTAGACAATTAATAATTCAGCGGAAAGTGAACACCAAATACGAAGTGTTAGTTAATCATTGTTTCTGCTTTGTTCATTCTCAGTAAACATAATTTTCGGTCCGGTATATGATCTAATTAGCTTCTATTTTAAATAAATCAAAGAAAAAACTGTGGTCACATATACGTCATTTTTAAAATCCAAATAAATTCCAGATCACCAAAACCAAAGAGCGCTTTGAAGTTGTGAAAAGAAAAATTATAGAAACTGGACAAAAACATCAAATGGTTTGGAAGAATGGCCTTTTTCAAAATTTAGGCTATTGCTTGAATATAACGATTTCGGTGTTGGTCATTTGAAAGATGTATTTGTGGTTCTACATCCTATTGAACACAGGTTGTTGCGAAAGCGATGAAATATGAGTATAATTCTTCATACAGATCATTAGATTGCGAATCAAACAGTGAACACAGATAACCGCCAAAGATTTTCATATCTTGATCTCGTCCGATAACTCCCCTCTGCCGAACTGGGCCACTTATGCATCTACTGTAAACTTATAATTTTTATATATACCGCTTTATTATAGGCAACTTATTCAGTACCAAGATAATAATTCTATCTACTTTTTAGCAGTTTTTATTGAATTTGGTTTTAGTTCTTCGGCACTCACTTTTCGCCCTCTTTGTAGGATATTGAAGATACATATTTTATGCCGATCAGTGATCAACTGGATTATGTTTGTCGTATGATACATGAAGATAAAAACTTATCTAATGGTTTACACATGATTGGTATATCACAGGGTGGATTATTTGTTAGAGCGTTAGTTCAAAAATGCAACTTATCGAAAGTCGGCACAGTTGTTTCTATTGGAGGGCCTCACAGGGTATATTTGGGATACCAAAATGCACTATTGATGGCTTTATTCATTTGTGCTTATTAATGAACGAGCTACTTTCATATGGAGCCTATATTAAATTTATTCAGAGCCAGTAAGTGCTAGCCAAATAATTATGAAGTTATCAGCGGTTTGGGATTTATTAAAGTATGTTAGCACAATTGTAAGTTGGGTAAAAAAAACTATATTTTTAGGATTTACAAATAATAAAATGTGCCAGTATTCAAGGGGTCTAAATGGTAGCTTCATTACAGTTAATTGTAAATTTAAAGTACACTTAACTTATCACATATTATTATATATTATATGTATATATATTAATAATATTAGCGCATTGCCTTCTGTTCAATTTGATCATACATTTACTGGTTGTGAAGTTTTTGCGAAAAATAACTGTCTAGCTAAACTAATTGAAAGAGACGTAAAACATTATGGATCACATCACTCTAGTCAATAAATCTCCATTACTAAGGCGAGTTTAGTGAAAGTATAAATTGTCTGTGAACTCGTAGAGGGGGCAAATTTTGTATGACTAAGCCTCCAGTAAAATTTATCATTCTATCTATGTAACATTTGGCCAAAACCACAATGTCTGAGTTAAGGTCGATCTTAAAACCCGCTTCAAAAATGTACCTAGAAACGAAAGAAAATAAATATTTATTATATAATCCTATTGGATTACATTTTTCTCGAGTCTTGATTACACCAACTATTTTCTGCTATCACTGATACTCGTAGTACGTCTACTACTCCGGCAAATCGCTGTGTTAGTGAAGCATGATAACTTGAACCGACGTTCATATGTTCCAGGTTCTCCAATCAGTACAACTGGACGAATGTCTGACCATACAATCGAATGATGTACTACACACCGAACTTTGGAAAATATCAACAAAAAGTCAATAACCGTTTGTCTTTAGGTGGTAAACACTTGTCTGGACTATTTATCGCTACTGATCAGATCCGCCTGTCGCTCTTCTAAAGTTACTACCGGTTCAAAGCCCGACTAAAAGATGGTTTGGCATGGGGTCGGGAACCCCATCGCGCAGAAAAACGTTTTGCCGAAATCGTCAACCAGATTAAATAAATTAAACCATTTAAACTCTGCCCTTCGAGTTCAAGGAAGTATTATGACGCCTTACAATGAAGCCTGAGATTCTTTAGAAGTCACGAGGCCGATGCCTTTTTTAACAACCAGAGAAACAATATTTATAGGTACATGGAACGTCCGCACAATGTGGGATACCGGGAGCACCAATCATATAGCAACGCGAATGAGGAGATACAACTTGGCGGTTCTCGGAACCAGCGAAACCCATTGGACCCAAGTTAGACAGCAAAGGCTAGATACGGTAGATATGCTGCTGTACACCAGTTATGAAGTGGAGAATGCTCCATGCACTCAGGAAGTTGCTCCGATGTTGTCCAAAGAAGCACATAATGCACTTATAGGATGGGAATCTCATAGATCCTGGATCATCAAAGCATCATTCAAAACAAAGAAGGCTGGAATCACAGTGAATATTATCCAATGTTATGCACCCAACAGTGACAGCAACGATGACGATAAGGATCAATTTTGAGTATGTAAGTAAGTAAACTTACCATATTCAGATATTTTACGAATTTCTGCAGTTTAATTCTAAGAGGATGCCGTAAAATTGATTATCTTTTGTGATTATATGGCTAACTGATCTTCTTGGTACTTCACCATCTCATCAAAAAATAGAAAGCCAGCATGGTAAGAATTTCATTTCACTTCTTTTACTAATTTAAGATGAATATGAATAAGTTACAATAACGATCCTTGACACGGGCATACTGCTAGTAGTCAAAAGTGTTGCGAAAGATTTTTGAATTTTGAGGGTTTGTTATAAATAATCTTATATGAAAGTATTAAATTATTTCTTGCAATATACGCACATTCAGAAATAAAAATTTATTCCTTTTGTTACGTAACAAGCGTTGTTCAAGCTCAATACTGGCATGATCCATTGGAGGAAGATGTTTATCGCAAATACTCCCAATTTTTAGCTGATATTAATCAGGAAAACGTAAGCTTTGTGTGGCTAAAATATATTTGTATATTTGTTCAGATTGAAATTACCTAAAATCTAAATCTCTGGTAACCTTTGTTATCAAAGAAATCATGTCTTAGGAAACTACTCTTATATTTTTAGATGAAGTAGTAATATTTATTCTATTAAAGGTCAAACATCTCTAGCAACTCATCCATTTGCGTCCTGCGTAACATTCCCGGATATGACACTTAGTGACGCTGTCTCAGTTCGCACAGCTACAATCACTTATTTCACGCTGGTAGCTGCGTCTTACAGATGAGTGAAAAACAGAATGAAACCACTTTACAATGTTTCCTGACAATTGTCCCTTCAAAATCACATCGACGTAGGTATCCTGATGAATTCTGTTAACGATCACTACTACGCTGAAAGATAAGTAAGTTATATTGACAAGTCTTTGAAAGTCATGCAGCATACTCTATCGCAGCAGAAAATGAAGGCTTGCTTTTTTCACAAGAGACACACATCTGATTTAAATCGCTTTACAACACCTAGGCATCACATTATTGGTGTTCTTTTAGAATAATTGATCAACATAAAGGATTATTTATTGGGTATAAACGGTTCACGGTGGTCCAGTCATAATTGAAAGTATCAAGAATTGGTTACCTTGGCATTAGTTTTGAGTTGTATCATTAATGTACCGGTTTTGAAGCCATCATTACACTATAGTAAACAAGAATAAAATTATATCTTAATGAAATAATTATATTTTGCAAACACATTATAATATTAGTAAAATAGTGGATATTTGATTCACTTCTGTTTTCAGTCTACATTCAACTTCTACTGATTTTTCCTGTTATAGAGTAACGAAATTCGAAGGAAAAGAATGAACAGTTTTTATTTGGGTTGACTTTTCATAATTAAATTACTTTGTTGAGTATTAACTTGGACGAAAAACCTCATAATATCTCCTTTTTCTTCTTATAGAAAAAAAACATTTACTTAATTTTTGCTTGTTTCATTTACTCATTTTTTGTTGGTGTTTTAGGAAATAAACGAAATTTATCGTGAAAAACTGAGAAATATTCAAAGACTAGTATTGGTTAAGTTTTCAGGTGACACTATTGTAATCCAAAAGAATCTGAAGCAAGTGTATTGATTAGTTAAAACAAAATGTATATTTCTTAAAATAATTGAATATGGTTAATTGGAAGTGTTCTTTTGTTTAACATCTAATATCTAAACTCATTTTAAGCATTTCGATTAAACAAACTCATCAACTTTACTGTCATACTATAGTGAAATGGAATAATCTATTTTAAAATGAGTAAGCCATTTAAACTAATCGCTGTATCTTTAATATTATATATACCATCGTCTAAGTAACACCGCTACAAGTGATATGTTCTGTTGCAATTAGTGCACTAATCTAATATTCACGATTTTTAATATTTATTAACACTATGTACTAAGTATGCCTTGATAATAAAAATCGACAATATCGAAAACTAAAGTCTAGGTTATTTAACCTTCAGACCATAGATAATCTACTATGTTCCTAGTATGTAATTAGATTAATATCATTTAACTTGGTCCTGATATTGTATCAGTCTATCAATCAATGTTCACACTAATACTTTAAATTAAAACATTAATAATGAGATTATCTGATAGGTGATATAGATACCTACATTGTTCTAATATTTGTTAAATAAAATTTTAGTATTGGACTTTACCTAATATCAGTATGAATAGTCTTGTGCGTGTGTGTGAATTTATTTACATATTTGTTTATTTACTTTAAGTTAGTATATTCGAATAATGCCAGTGTAGTTAAACTATTTACTTATAATTTAAAAGATAAATTAATTTAGGATTTGTGTAGTTTCCGGTTTCAGCATACATTTTTATACACTTTTTTAATATGTTTTTAAATGTGTGCGGCAAGTTACATATTATTGCACTCATTGAAAACATGTTTTGTCGAAATATATCGAAGCTAGACAGAGTATTATGGTTTTTTATCTGAGCTAGTTCGTAACTGAACCCCCAATTAGTTTTGATTTAACTTGAACCATATAACCGTCGACTTTTTTCAATCTGTAAGGGTAGGCTAAATTGAATGTTTGCAAATATAAGTCAGAAACTCTGCAGTTAAGAATTCCCTCATGTTTTCTGATCAAAATAAATCGATGACTCTAAATTCTCTCTCTCGACGTAAGTTGCAGTCTTGATTTGAGTTAACGACATGAGTTGGTAAATTTCATTTTCAAAAGAAATATAAAAAAGATATCCTCGATATCTTTACTTCATTAGTCATGAATAGTAATTATGGATCACGTTTCATAGATTTATTTTATATTTCCAGTCAACTGAGCACAAAATCTAATTCTTGTATTGAAAAGTTATCTACAACATTTGCGATAACTCTTAACATATTAGTTAACCGATCTTAGTTTTATGGTGGTCGATGTGTCATTTGGCTATCAACATTAATTTTATATTTAATAAAGTAACACGAAATTTTCGAAATAACTCAGTCGAGTGCACAGAGGTGATCCAGTAATTAGCTGGACTTAATTCGAGTAAACTCAGCGTACCAACACCTTCGTGTACCTTAATGTCAGTTATAGTGTAACGGTTGAATGTCTTACAATAACTGTGGATATATTAAAGGAGACGGTAATTGATAAAAATTTTCTATAATTAAAGTACGTTTAAATTATACTGATCATTTAGTTGTTTCCGATGGCTGGCCATCTTTTACTATGAAGAATTAATTACCATCTCTACAGATCCTGATCACCAACGGTCTGTGAAGGCTATCGTGGTCTATATGTCATTGTGAGGTGTAAATGATTGCAACTGATTTAAATTTTCTATATGTAGTTTCAAAAGTATCTGAAATTCATGACTTATGTTAAATATGACTTTTTTCTGATATCATAAACAATCTTTTTCAGTGGTTTGGATTTTATCAGAATGGATCATCGACAAACATAACAACATTACAGGACAGTATTCTGTATACTGAAGTAAGTAACTCATTAATATGTCCAAAATAACTTATTGTTTGTATATGATGATTGTTAGCAATCAAAAATTTAAGCATACAAATGATGACAATAGGAAGATTCAAGTCGAAAAATAAGTTCTGGTAACTAAACACCAAAACCTTGAGTACGCATGTCTTTTTCCTAAGCTGAGGGTTACATCATGAGACTACACGTACGGAAAGATAGTGCATCTGAATAAACTAATAAACTTTTCTTTTTTTTGTGTTTGATCAAAATACATGATTTAATTAGATTAGATTGGTCGATCTGTTCGTTTTTAGTGATAGTAACACGATGTACTTGGCTGGCGGTTGTTAAACCATGTGTAAGTGGTTGATATAAATAATGAAATTTTAATTCGTTGTCAAAAAATACAGCATATAGAAACAGTAAATTGATATATTTGTAGTGAAGAAAAACACAGGTGAGGACAACCGAATTGTATTTAGCACAAAATTATAGAGTTACTTGGTAAAATGGAAAAACCATATAGTAAATCGTTAATTTACAAAATATCAAACCGGACTGCTACCGTTGCAAACATCAATCCATTGTCTCACATTTAATTGTTCATGCGGTTTCTTACAAATTCCACTGTATTCTCGCTCTTCCTTTCTTGATCGTCCCCATCTTCTGTTGCCAGACATTACGTCCTTTAACTCGCGTTATATACTACTTATATCAATATAAGTAGCACGCACCACATATTGATTCATTAAATAACTTATTAAAGTGACATGATGCTTGTTTTAAATTAACAGATTTGTGAGGAAACTAAGTGAAGTTGAGTATATTAAAGGGATTTATTTTATGAAGTATAGTTAACGTTTGATGATTCTCATGAAGATTAATTTGCCTAGTAAGTGCTGAGAAAAGTAGACTGGACAAGGCGTATCACACTTATTTGACGATGCAATATCGATTCTAATAAAAGATTAATAAATGTTGAGCAAAACCGAAAATTCGCCAGGAGATTGTTTAATAAGTGGATGAAGTATACATTTGTTTTGAATGTTTCAGATAACTAGCACAATAATCTCTTTATGAGATTTATCAAATCAAAAATGAATAGAGAGTCTCAAGATGAACAATTTGATGTTATCTACATTGATTTTATCACTTCTGTATTCAAAATAAGATTTAATTAATTATATTTCAAAACCATTTGACAAGAATCTTTAATAATTTTATAAATTCTCTTATTTCAGGATCGTCTAGGCCTCAGAGAACTTAATAAAAGGGGTGATTTACATTTTATTGAAAAAGATGGTGATCATTTACATTTTGATGTGTATTGGTTTATTGAAAAGATTGTTATTGCTTTTCTGAAATAATTTCAATCAGTAAAATACACAATGCTTACTTCGTGAACTTTAGAGCAACATATATATTATTTTTGACCAATCAATGAACACAATTCACTGAACACATAAATCATTCTTAATTTTAACATTTCATTCATCTTACATTTTCTGAAATAAAGTTGCTAGTACATCATGCACTTCAGAAAGTACTCATTAAACTAAGAGGTTATCTATTCTAAATGACAATTAAATTATTAAATAATGACTGAAATCAAACCAGAGCCTTCACTTAAAATATAATGATCACTCAAAAATTGTTTGAATTGTTTCAACTCAAGTTTTGATACTGATCTGCCAAAGTCAAGAGTCACTCTAGTGTTTGATTAATTAGGATAATAAACGACGAATTGGAACATTTAGTCAATTGCTTTATAAGCCATAAAACATAACAATTGACTTAAAAACATAAACCGTATAAACAGTGAGCGATTGGCTGCATTAATTCACTCTAAAAACTTATGATTAGGTAATAGAGAGCATATAAATAGCTATTACTTTTTCGCTTATTTTAAAAAGAATATTCGATGCGAGTGAAATATTTGTAGACAACATTTTTCGTCTATTTCCTTGAATACGAACAATACGCTTATTAAAGTGATGATATATTTGGTTAAACTACTAAGCGGATTTACTCTAATAACTAGTCACGATCACCATTCTTTGTGATCATTCTTCTGTCATGTTAGTGTAAAATAATCTACCATTACTGTTATTGATTTCATTCATATTGGTGGCTGCTTTTCAGTGTTCTCAAGGTTCATTGTCATTGGGACATTTTAAGGCATGTCGCCATTGCTAACATTAATGAGTTTGACTATCGTGTAAGCGGAATAGGTGAACTTTGGCTTGTTAGTGCTGTGCATAATTGATTCACGCGATCATTGATCGTAATAACTATACATGTGACGTGAATATGCATATCAGTGGTGCGAATGGTCCACCAGGGTGTTTACTCTACAGGATTGAGCTGTACTATTCAGAATGTAGCGTTAAAGCATATACGGTGTCTGGTTCTCCAGTGAAGCGGGATTAAACTGTACTGCTCGGGTCATAAAATTTAAGCATGAACGGTGTATGGCTCTCCTGTTAAACGGGATTGAGCTGTACTATTTGGGTTTTCACGTAAAAGTCTGGATAGTATCTGGTTCTCCTGAGAGCCAATGTAAAATTACCCTGGCCCACAAGGGTATATTATATAACTATAACTAACTGCCGTTACTGTATTAACGACCATCAGAAACCATCAAATAAACAATATTTATGTATATATCCTGTATTTAGTTACAAATAAGCAGTAGTATGTTTTGTTAGAATTTTAAAATATTTTGTTCGATTCCATTCTTTCTTATTGTCAATTACAATAAAGGTGGGCAGTAATTACCTGAATAGTTTTTTATACCAATCTCTAGTGGACGACTGTGTTGTAATTAATTAGTTGTCAAGAGATATATAGTATTATTAGATGTACAGCATTTGGTTACCATTCATAAAAAAAAGTAGCTACTTAAATAGGAAAGCTTAGTACGGAGACTGAATTTAACGATTCGTGAAAAACCTCTTAATTAGTTAAAATATGGAATACTTCGTAAATTGACTTGTTTGGACGATATCCCCTCATAAATTCCAAGAAGGCTATTTTTCAAACGTGGATTTTTCACAAACTAACAATATCATTCAGGCGTTAATTGCCGTTGACTTTAACGGAGATCGGTGAATGTTTGATATTCAGTGATTAACTGCTGGATGATTTGGCTAGAGCCTAAAGACATTTAACTAGCTCTACATTTAGCATGTGTTTTTGATAAGACGTTGTGTATAGTAGCAATTTGCTGTACTTTTTTCAGTACATAGTGCCAAGAACATTTTTCCCAAAAACTCACGAATGCATTCAGATAGTGAAGTATACAAACTGTGTATGTTGTTTTTATTTATTGTTTCGAAGTAAGTTTCACCAAAATATCTAGGAAAAAATAATGATACGGATATTTTTTCCCGTTCATTACTTTACATTCATTATGATGAAATAAACTCCTAGATTACTAAGATCAAAACTCTTTCGCTTTCCTGATTTCAGCTAATGCCATTTTGACACGACAATATCAAAACTTGGTTCTGCTACACAGATGCCGACTTTCACAGGAAGACAGACCCACATGTACAATTCTTTGTAGTAATAAAGGCACTGCCGAGCGATCTCAACAGACGCATCACACTTAGCATATTTGCTAGTGATGTTTTGGAACCTTACGAAACATCAAAAAAGGCTTTTATTAAGAGTGGAGATCTAACCGACAGACAACAAAGTCAAACTTCAACATGGCTCAGAAACAGAAATGTTGCTACAAATGAGAGAGCTCATTGGTCAAAAAATTTTTAACGAGGGCCTGTATAGACAATTCTTGTTGTCTAAGCTTCCACAAAAGATGCAAGAAGTCCTCGTCTCATTTCAATACAAATAGCTGCATCTGCCGACCGGGTCCTAGAGATCACCAGATCTCCCATCGCTGAGGCTTATTCAGTTACAGGAAAACCTCAAGCGACACGAAATGACGTGACCTCTGATATACCTTGATACGTTAACTTAATATTCGTCCTTACCGTAGGCGCTGCCAAACTCGCTGAAGAAGTATTCCATGAAAATGATCTGTCTATAGATCACGTGCGACAGATAGCTCTGATTGGTGCTGCTATTATAATAAATGTGGTGATTCTTCTCGAAGTCGCTGAAAACCTAGCAGTTTCTCGGGTTTTAAACCATCCGACACGAAAAAAGTTTCGGGAAACTTCCCAGCCGGCATGCTATAACGTAAACCGTAGCCGGCGAGGATAGCTGTCTGATGCGGCGACGTACACCCTCGCAGAAGTTGGTGTTCATTTTGAAAGTCTTCAAATTATAGGTGGCAAATGGGAAGCCGATTACCACATATGGTAAGCGATATATGTATCTTAACGTGGTTTCACGCAAACCCATTCATTAGATCTTCGTTGTCGCAGGTGATTCTATGTCACTCATTTGTATAGGCATGCTACAACAACATAATCTACTCATCGGTAAGCGCGAACCAAGGTCAGTAAATGGAAATACTAATTTATCTGTTTATGTTACTTCTTTTTCCGGTTGTGGATGGGCCTTAGTAACCCATAGGCACACCATCAATCCATAATATAAACAAACACTCGATAAATATCACGAGGTATACCGAACGCGACCGAAATCACCATAAATAGCAAGCAATCATACACATTACACTATGACTACAGGGCCGCCTGTTTTCTCGAAAGAGCAACGATTAGCTCCTGGAAAGTTGAGGTTGGCTAAAAACGAATTCGATCACCTGATAGACCTGGCAATCATTCGGCCGTCAAATAGCCCATGAGCTTCTTCCTTGCATATGGTCCCTAAAAAGGACAGCAACATTTGGCGTCCATCAGACGACTATCGTCGTTTAAATTCGGAAACCACTCCTGATCGTTACCCATTACCTCATACTCAAAAGTTGATAGCCACCTTAAAAGCTACGACTGTTTTTTCAAAAATCGACTTGGTCAAAGCTCATAACCGAATTTCCATGGCCGCTGACGACATTTCTAAAACCTCTGTCATCAAATTTTCGGTCTCTACGAATTTGCGCACAGGGTTTTATGCTTAAAGAATACTTACTTACTTACGCCTGTTACTCCTCGTGAAGGAGCATAGGCCACTCACCAGCATTCTCCATCCAACCCTGTCCTGGGCAATCCTTTCCAGCTCCGTCCAGTTGTAATTCATCCTTTTCATATCTGCTTCTATTTCCCGACGCAATGTGTTCTTTGGCCTTCCTCTTTTTCGCCTCCCTTCAGGGTTCCAAGTTAGGGCTTGCCTCGTGATGCAGTTTGACGATTTGCGTAATGTATGTCCTATCCATTTCCATCGTCTTTTCCTAATTTCTTCTTCAGCTGGAAGTTGGTTTGTTCTCTCCCACAGAAGGCTATTGCTGATGGTATCCGGCCAGTGGATGTTGAGTATCTTGCGTAGACAGCTATTTATAAATACTTGTACTTTCTTGATTGTGGTTGTTGTAGTTCTCCAAGTTTCAGCTCCATACAGTAGAACTGCCTTGACGTTCGTATTGAAGATTCTCACTTTGATATTGGTTGAAAGTTGTTTTGAGTTCCATATGTTCTTCAATTGTAGGAATGCGACCCTTGCTTTGCCGATCCTCGCCTTTACGTCTGCATCTGAACCTCCTTGTTCATCGATGATGCTTCCTAGGTATGTGAAGGACTCTACATCTTCCAGAGTTTCGCCATCAAGAGTGATTGGATTGCTGTTCTCCGCTTTGAATTTGAGGACCTTGGTTTTCCCTTTGTGTATGCTGAGGCCTACTGATGCAGAGACTGCTGCTACACTGGCTGTCTTCATCTGCATCTGTTCGTGTGTACGTGATAGGAGGGCTAGGTCGTCTGCGAAGTCCAAATCGTCTAATTGATTCTGAGCTGTCCATTGTATTCCGTGTTTTCCTTCAGATGTCGAGGTCTTCATAATCCAGTCGACCACCAGAAGAAAGAGGAAGGGAGAGAGTAAACAGCCTTGTCTGACTCCAGTCCTTACTTGGAATGCATCTGTCAGCTGTCCTCCATGCACTACTTTGCACTGTAGTCCGTCGTATGAGTTCCGGATAATGTTGACAATCTTCTCAGGAACTCCGTAGTGTCGAAGAAGTTTCCATAATGTCCTCCTATCTACACTGTCGAATGCCTTTTCATAATCAATGAAGTTGATGTATAGTGATGAGTTCCACTCAACTGATTGTTCGACGATGATCCGTAGTGTTGCAATTTGGTCTGTGCACGACCGATCCTTACGGAATCCAGCTTGTTGATCTCGAAGTTGGGCGTCTACTGCATCCTTCATCCGGTTCAGCAACACTCTGTTGAAGACTTTCCCTGGTATTGACAGTAGTGTAATGCCTCTGTAGTTTTCACATTTGCTCAGATCTCCTTTCTTTGGAATCTTGACGAGGTGTCCTTCTTTCCAGTCCATCGGCACTTGTTCCTCCTCCCAAATCTTTTTGAATAGAAGGTAAGCATGCTTGTGGTTGCTTCGATGTCTGATTTCAGTGCTTCAGCTGGTATGTTGTCGGGTCCTGCTGCTTTCCCGTTCTTGATTTGTCTGACGGCCATTCTAATTTCTTCCGTCGTTGGTGGGTTGACATCTATAGGAAGATCTATGTGTGCTGCTTCGATGTCCGGTGGATTCATTGGAGCCGGCCTATTCAGGAGTTCCTCGAAGTATTCTCCCATCTGTTACGCTGTTGTTGAATTTCGGTGATTGGCTTGCCTTCTTTGTCTTTGACCGGCCTCTCTGGTTTACTGTATTTCCCTGCTAGTTTCTTCGTTGTATCGTAAAGCTGTTTCATATTTCCTTCTCTAGCAGCTTTTTCTGCCGTCGTTGCTAGTTCTTCCACGTATTTCTTCTTGTCGGCTCTAATGCTCCTCTTCACTTGTTTGTTTGCTTCTATGTATTCAGCTTGTGCTTGGACTTTCTCTGCTCGTGTTCGGCTGTTGTTAATTGCTGCCTTCTTGTTCTTCCTTTCTTTGATCTTGTCCAGTGTTTCTATAGAGATCCATTCCTTATGATGGTGTTTCTTTAGGCCCAGAACCTCTTGACACGTTGAAGTTAATGCTTCCTTGATGCCTTTCCAGTTGTCCTCCATAGTAGTTTCTTCTTCTTCAGTAGATCTTGTAAGGCTTGGAACCTGTTGTTGAGAGCTATCTTGAATTCATTGAGTTTGTCAGTATCTCGAAGGAAGGCTGTATTGAACCTTTGTAGTGCTGTTTGTCCACTTGTCCAGTTCTTTTTTAGCTTCAGTTTTAAATTGGCTACAACTAGGTGGTGATCTGAAGCTACGTCAGCACCTCTCCTGGTTCTCACATCTTCCATTGTCCTTCGGAATTTTTTGTTGATGCAAATATGATCTATTTGGTTCTCTGTAGTGTGGTCCGGTGAGATCCATGTAGCCTTGTGTATACGCTTGTGTGGAAATATTGTGCCTCCTATGACCAATTTGTTGAATGCACACAAATTTGCAAATCTTTCTCCATTTTCGTTTCTTTCTCCCAGTCCATGTCGTCCCATAATATCTTCATATCCAGTGTTGTCTATTCCGACTTTGGCATTTAGATCTCCCATCAGAATAGTTAGGTCCTTTCTTGGCATTTCTCAATGATTGACTGCAGCCGCTCGTAGAACTGATCTTTAATGTCGTCGTTGCTATCATTGGTGGGTGCATAACATTGGATAATATTCATTAAGATCCCCTCCTTCTTTGTTTTGAATGATGCTTTGATGATTCTGGATCCGTGAGACTCCCATCCTACAAGTGCATTTCGTGCTACTTTGGACAGCATAAGAGCGACTCCCTGAGTGTGTGGAGCATTTTCCTTTTCGTGACCGGAGTATAGCAGCATCTCTCCCGTAGCTAGCCTTTTCTGTCCAGCTTGGGTCCAGTGGGTTTCGCTGATTCCCAGTACTGCTAAGTTGTATCTCCTCATTTCCATTGCTATTTGACTGGTCTTCCCGGTTTCCCACATTGTTCGAACGTTCCATGTACCTATAAAAATTTTTGCTCTGGTTGTTAGAAGGGGCATCGGCCTCGTGGCTTCCGAAGGAACTCGGCTTTCACCATGAAGCGTCATAATTCTTCTAACTGAAGACCTTCTAACTCCCAGGGCAGAGTTAAAATGGTTTGAATTATTTTTTCTGGTAAGCGTTTTTTTAGCGAGTTAGTTTTCTACGGGATGGGGACGCTAACCCCATGCCCAACCCCCCTCCTTTACCCGGGCTTGGGACCGGCAGTAACTCTAGAAGAGATACAGGCGGACTTATGCTTAAAGAATGCCACAGAAATATTCAAGAGATTCGTCGATGACGCTTTTCGAGGTCTTAAATTCGTACATGCTCATTCCGAAGACTACTTGATTTCAAATCCGATCAGGGAATCTCGTCTTCAGCATCTGAACCTTGTCTTCAAACGACTGCAAGAACAGCATTACTGTAGATATTCAGATGTATGAAATCGGCATCGGCTCCCTAGATCTTTACGAACCTACTACTGATGCTCAAGGCATCCGTCCTTTGAAAAACAAAGTGACGGTCATTCTGGATTACCAAGAACTGACCACAATGAAGCAACTACGCGCATTCAACGACCTAGTAAGTATTCATAGTCGATTGATACCGAAACAAGCGTCTTATATGAGACATTTGATCGACATCTTTCGTGGAAATCTGAACGGTGTCGCGAAAAACGCATTCTCCAAAATAAATGAAAGTGTCGCCAAAGCAACACTGCTCGCACCTCAGGACACTGAATCATCCATTAGTATCGCAGTTGACGCATCCAATCGGAAATCGGTAGGTTAATTACACATAAAAATTTATTGCATTCTTCTCTAGACAGTTGCAAGACAATGAATCGAGTTATAGCAATTTCAGTAAGGAATTCCTAGCCATGTACCGCGCTGTACAGCACGTTCATCACTGTGCGATAGCCCTGGAATCCACTCTTTTCACCGGTCGCAAATTTCTCAACTTCTCTTTAAGCTCAGTTTCAGACAAGTTCTCCAAAGGAGTGTCTTGACTACTCCACCACATTTCACCGTTTACTTCAGACATAAAACACATTTCCGTGGCGAAAGATGTAGTTGCAACTCCTTATCTCGTATAACTTCCTCGAACAGTTTTCAAGGAACCAGCCTTCTTGATCTCTCCTGTATTCGAAAAGAAGACACTTACTTCCAGCACGAGTTATCTTCGACAACCTGAAATTATGCACTGAAAGGACAAAAACAGGCAAGTAAACTTTATCATATGACATATTAACAGACAGCAACCATCCAGTCGTGCCGAAACATTATCGACGCAACATATTCACCACGTTGCATAGGCCTTCTCATCCAGGTCTTCGTGCAAACATCAAGCCCATAGCATAACGTTCTGCTGGCCTGGTATAAATAAAGACGTGAGGAAGTGGGCAAACACCTATGTAGGCTGCCAGAAATCTAAGGTGATTGGACACAACAAATGTACTTTAGGCTCTTTCACAAATCCTGACTCTCGTTTCGTCATGTTCATCTTGATTTGATAGGACTCTTACTATATTCAGATGGATACCCAGACCGTTCCACACGATGGACAGAATCATTACCTATCAAAGACATTACTGCTGAAACAGTGACCCGCGCCTTCTTCGATCGGTGGGTATCAACCTTCGACGGCCTTTCAACTATCACCACAGACCGTGGACGCTAGTTTGACTCTAGACTTTTCCGTTGACTGACCAAACTGTGAGAAATAACGGGATTGCAAAGGACCGCAAGTAAAGGGGTAGGTGAAATGCTTCACTGACAGCTTCACTATCAGCTGCAAACGTTTCACAGGAGACCGATGCACTTGCACTCATTTTACAATGCCGTAAAAGCTGACTTTGGAAACACTGCATCTCAACTCTTCTATGAAACGACACTTTAGCTTACAGGAGAATTCGTAGACCCCTCATCTTCTATAATGAATATGGATTTAAATACGTACACGAGCAAGCTCACAAACGCAATGCGTTCAGTTAAAAATGTTTTCACTCGACCGCAATTAACTTATGTTTCCGTTCAAACTGTCCTACGATATAGTACACACGTCTTCGCACGTCACGACTCACCTCGATAACCTCTCAGAAGAACATGCAGAAGACCTTTCAAATACCTTCAGAATGAACCTAATTTTGATATCATCGATACGAACGGAGCTTACCATAGTATCTAGATCAATCGTATTTAGAAGAAAAAGGAATTATGTAGATTTTTATTGCGTAAGACACGAGTTTCGCAGTGACGATGTCTCATACGATAATAAACCATCACAGTTTTACAGCATGCCAAATATATTGAAAATTGATATTTTCTTTGCATTTCCTACCTTAAGGTCAGTATATTTTTGTTATGTACACTGTGTTAACGTGGATTTTACTTTTCTCTAATTATCCATGGATTTCATCCGAAAAATTGCCAGTCCTTATTTGGCACGGAATGAGTTTGTATCTGAATTTTCGTTTATTTTCATAAAGGTGACCATGGGAACTCTTTTGGTATGGATTTAATGTCCCAGTTGGTTAAACGAGCAATACCTGGAATCTATGTGAAAACCATCTCAACGAATATTTTTAACATAGAGGTAAACAATCAAACTTGTTTCCGAATGCGTGCACGTTTGTCTCTCAGCTGTAAAACCAAATAATTTCTGATATTGTTCGCATGTAATTATAATTACATTAGCCGTTCTGAAATATATATAAATGCGGTTGGTTAGTCGCTGTGGTATACACATCGTTGTTGTTGCCTTGAGATTGTTTTTTGGGTTGTTTGTTTGCTGTTTTAAACAGATTGAGATTTGATTGTTGATGGCAGAAGGTCTGCCTGATATGATTGTCTTTCTTAGAGTGTCCAGTCTGGTTTTGCATGTGTCAGTTTTAAGAATTGGACACTACTTCTTCGATTACATTGTTCCAAGATTTGATGATTCGATGTGTTTGACACATAAAGTTTCTGTTCTTAGCTATTTGTGCTCATATGGTATGTCCTCTAGGTTCTTAGGTTCTGGTAAGAAAATGAAATGATATGTCTCGTTTAAATTCTTTTCCCAGTGTTCTATGCACTAAAATCGGACCACTGTTTGATGTGCGATGAAACAGATTAAATAGGTTAAACTTCTCATGCCAATGTGTGTATCGTGAACTTCGGATTTCAGGAATTGCACGAGTTGTCGCTCTCCGTGGTTTTTTTCTAGATATTCAAGTCACTTTATAAACCTAAGCTTGCTGCCTGAATGCGGTTTTCAAGTTCAAATTTCACTTAAGTTATGTTTAGTGTAGTGAGCATATTAAAGTCGAACTTAGTGAATTACCATCCTAAAGTCCATAAAGTTGTGAACCACTCAGTTGCGAGCTCATGGTACTGCACCGTTGCTTTAAGGCTGTAGCTCACTGCTACCACACGATTATGATGAGACCTGGATATGGGCAGCGACTCTTCCTCTACATTGCGCCTATTTACTTTTGTGTCTTCAGCGTAAATGTAGAAGTACTCTGTCGCGTTGATATGGATTGTCCATTTTTTAGACCAGAAAATCGGGACATTCAAGTTCTCCAGAGAAGCACATACATATGTGTCTCCTGTTATTGTACACCATCTTATTGCATCACTCATGTTAAGCAGCATTCTGAACTCGACTGCACTTGAGATTTTATTTACACAGTGTATAAAAAGCAAAGGACATAGGACAGAATATTTTGGTACTCCATTAAGTGCTGGTTATCAGGAGGAGCGTTCAAAATGTATTCTTACTGTTTCTGACCTGTCATGAAGGCCTTATTCCACTTTAGAAGAGGTTCGGCAATTTCTCGATTGTTCAGCATCACAAGAAGTCTATTATTTACCACCTTATCGAATACTTCTATGATGTCTGCTGATTCCTCATTTTCTAGAGATTTTGTCGATTTTGCCCTTGCGGTCAGGTGGTTTATTGTGAAAGATAATCCGTTTCTGAAACCATGTTGTTCATTTTTTAGCAAGTTTCTGGTTTTTTTGATTGTTATTATGACCCTTGTGATTATCTTTTCTTGTGTTGTAATAATGACACTGGTGAGAATGATAAATCTGTAGTTTAGTGGAGGTTGTTCTAATCCTGTCTCGTGAATCGAAGTGACCTTTATATATTTGTAGTCCATACGTAGGCCGATTTTGTTCCATGACACATTTGATGTCATAATGAGTGTATAAGTAATGCTTTATGCAATTTGTCTCAAGATTTCAGAGTGTATTTAATTGTTTCATGTCTTAAATGCTAAGGGCCTTTAGTACGTCGTCTTGATCGAGGACCACAGTTAGCAGCTAATTTAGTGAATTTGAATTTTGGTCTAGTCCTTAGCCTAGAAGAGGCCTTCGTGTGAAAAGTGTCCCGAAATAGTCCATCATAGTTCGTGATTTGTCCTGAACTTCATCTTTCACTTGAGATGCTAATGGATTGGATCACGAAACCTGTTAGTCTTTGGTAGAAGCAAATTTCAACTTTTGTTCTTCTGTCAGTTACAGCGTTTGTTGGTAAAGTTGAGTCATATGAAGCCTTTGCTGGCTGGCCTAACAGTGGCTTTTATTCCCGTATGAGAATTACTGTGCATAAGTTTGAAAACGTTATGTCTTACTGACTCTCTAATCAGCGGTCGTTCCCAGCCCACTGAAAAATTACACGTTGGTTTATCATCATAGAATGTAGGCCTTTGAGAATTTTTGGAGTTATAACAAAGGATTTTGATTCGAATAATTTGAAGAGTGCTATTTTTAGTTAAGCTAGTTTATAATAGTCTGTTCTAGTTGTATTTAGTATATTTGTCGGTATCCTGTAAAATACATTGGCTACGTCATTATTGTTCCCTTTAATATATAGTGCGCTGGAAGTCAATTGGGAAACGAATTCTAATTGTCTAATTTCTTGCGGCAAATAATTATCTTGCTTGACGTTTAACGTTTTCGTGAGAGTTTAATTGTCTGTATACACGGTGTAAGTGGTACTCTCTAAAATATGTCGGGAATGTTTCATTACCAGGTGAATCACCAGCGATTCTTTTATAAATTTTCTGAACCCCACTTAGGTAGGACTCTACCTACTCGGAAGCGAATGAAAGTAGTTCCCTCGCTTAATTTGCCTACCACCGCCACACAGGTCCTACCGCTACGTTCAATGCGTCAGTCATGACGGGTAACAGAGCTTATTTTCTCGTTGAACGAGCATCATCTTCCTATTCAGAGATCTCTAGAATAAACTCCACTAGTAGGTGGTGTCGAGAAACGTCTTCTCAAGGCCTCGGTTAGTGTTTGTAATATTTCTGCTCAGTTCGGGATAAATTGTTTATAATTATTTATTGGTCTGAAAAATCACCGTACTTTCTCCTGTAATTTGGGTTTTAGATAGATTCGGATAAAAACAACGAACGCCGGAACTGGAATGGTATCTCGAGAAACCACTTTTCCATATTTGCTCTTTTTAATGTTAAAAAAGCTTCCGTGTTCCTGAAACCCCATAAATAACGGTCTTGGTTGTTTAAGATGATCGTCCACCGTCCTATCAGCTCCTAACAATCCATTGATATACGCGTCATCCTTAGACAAACCTCCCGTAACTTGGCCAATAGATCGCCGAGAACGTTGTACTGCACTAGTTGCCCTTAAACGTTTTGATATTACGTTAGGTTCAGTACTGCCGCAAGAAGTCAGTCAAATCCGCGTTTATTCGGCTTTAACAACATTGAAAATGCGACAGTCGACGACAGACTAAGGCCACCGTCGTCGATCATGACCCTCCATGTGGTCTAATCAACAAAAGGCAGCTAATCGCCGCTTCATAAGAACCCATAGGAGAAGACACTTGATACTGGTATTTGAGAACAATACGTATTATTTTGGAACTTTATCACAACCGACATCTCCACACCTATGATCGGCATCGATTTCTTAAAGTTTTGTAAACCAATAGTGAACATAAGACGCCGTAAGCTAGTATGCATTAGTTGAAAAATCCACTTTGGATAAGCGACATCCACAGAAACGTCCGTGCATCAATTAATTAATAAACAACTCAACGGTAACATGTATATTAACCCGTTGAAATGGTTTATCAACCTGTTATAATCAACTTCCAAACAAAAACATTCGAAACAGCTTTGTATATCACATTATTATTAGTGGACGCCCAATCTTCACACATTCTAGATGCCTTCGTCCAGGAAGCTTAGGTGTTGTTAACAACGAACTCAACAATCTTATAAATTTAGGCATCATACGCCCTTCTAACAGGTTTTAGTCATCATCATCGCATATAGTCCTGAGAAAGAACAGATACATCAGGGGAGAATTTCGAACTCTTAACAGACAAATAGTAACTGGTCAATATCCGATACCACACGTCCAGGACAATACTATGATATAGAAAATGTCACCATATTTTCAAAGACTGATCAGGTCATAAATTATTATCGCATTCCAGTAGCGCCAGAGGACACGCCTAAAAAGCATTTATTACCTCATTTGGGTTGGGCAAATTCTCATACATGCCCTTAGAATCGACTAACATAACATTCAAATCAAAACTACCACAAAGTCATCTCATATATAGTTTTTATTAACATGTCTCCTGCTATATATTTTCCTACATTTTATTGCCTGTATAATATAATTTTACCATTTTTGTCACTCTTGAGGCTTTTGACGAACTAAAAGCATTGTTAACTGACTTTAAATCAAGGCCTTATAAGATGGTTATTGTCGATTAATTATTATAAAAACAACTGGTTTTGAATAAAGAAACTTCACCTAAAATTGCCTGGTCCATCTCTTTACAAAGGAAGTCCCCTAATGTTACTATTTTGAGAGCACGAATACGAAGCCTGATCCTTCAAAGTTCAAACGTAACACTGACTCCTCAAAATTTATTTAAGATTTGGTGTGGGAAATGAGCATCACTCTCTTTAACATAAGATTTTAGATTTTTAAAGTGTTTTATTCATTGTAATGTTGTATTATGTTATGATCATATTCGGTAAGTAAAGATCAGTCTATATTCCAACACTTATGAGCATGCCTATTCACTGATTCATTTATTAAGATATGAGAATTATTATATAGAACTCAAAATAGTTTATTAAATGATATAGAAGGAACTTAAAGCATCGAAATCACTAGAGTTGTTTACTTTCTTGAAAAACGTATCGTAATTACATAAGTCGGCTTCCATATCATATAATCACTACATATTTTGATGAATGAAGTTAAAAAAATAAAAAAACGGTTTAGCCGAAATATAACTTCTCGGCGAATTTATTTTCAAATATGTGTTTTCTCACAGTGCTGCGCTTTTATATGTTTTCTGGGTACAACAAAGATTTTTTAAGCAATATAACAAATCGAAGAAGTAAACAAAAGCACTTGTTCTTGTTTCCAAATCTTTCCGAATAGAACGTGGAGCACGGTTGCAGTAACCTCTATGTCCGACTTTAGTCCTTCATGTGGCACATTGTCCTGCTGCTTACCTGTTCTTGATTTGTCTGATGGCCATGTTGATTTCTTCCGTCTCTTTGGTTTACCATATTTTTGTGTCAGCTTCTTCGTCGTGTTATATGGTTGTTCGACATTTCCTTCGTTTGCAGCTCGTTCCACTGTCGTTCCTGGGTCGTCCGCGTATTTCTGCTTGTCGGCTCTAATTTTCCTCTACACTTGATTGTTTGCTTTTGTGTATTCAGCTTTTGCCTTGACTTTCTCTGCTCTTGTTTGGCTTTCGTTAATTGCTGTCTTCTTGTTCTTAGTTTCTTAAATCTTGTTTAGGTTTTTGATAGAGATACATTCCTTATGATGATGCTTGTTGTGGACCAGAACCTCCTAACACGTTGAATTCAGTGCTATTTTGATCCCTTCCCAGTTGTCCTTTATGGTTATTTCTTCTTCTTCTGGTAGATCCTGTGAGGCTTGGAATCAGTTGATGATAGTTAACTTGAATTGGTTGAGTTTGTTAGCATCTCGAAAAAAGGCTGTGTTGAACCGTTGTAATGCTTATTATTCAGTTGTCCAATACTTCTTTAGCTTCATTTTCATGTTGGCAACCATCAGGTGGTGATATGACTTTATCTTAGTACCTCTCCTGGTTCTGATGTCTTTCATTGTCCTTTTGAACTTTCTACTGATGCAAATATATTCAATCTGGTTCTTTGTAGTGCGATCCGGTGAGATCAATGTAGTTTTGTGCATGCGTTTTTAAAGAAGTTTAGAGTTGCATGTGACCATCTTGTTGAATGCGCATAAATCTGACATCTTCCATCACTGTCGTTTATTTGTCTGAGTTCATGTCGTCCCATTATATCTTCATATCCGATGTTGTCCATTTAGACTTTTCGCGTTCAGGTCTTCTATGAGTATGATAAAGTACTTTTCTGGGTACTTCACTATGATCGATTGCATTCTCTGGTAAAAATTATCTTTATCCTCGCCGTTGCTTTATTGTTGAATGTAGAATCTTGGACAACATTTGTTACAATTCCCTCTTTTGTTTTGTAGGATACTTTGGTGATTCTATGTTCATGTGATTCCCATCCTATAAGTGTTTTTTATCCTCATTTTGGTCAGTGCAACTTTCTGCATGTGCGGAGTGTTATCTCTTTCGAATCCAATATTTTCTACTCAGTTTGGGTTCAATGTGTTTTAGTTATTCTGTGCGACGTGTATATATATATATATATATATATATATATATATATATATATATATATATAAGGCTACCTTTATCTATTTGGAAATCAAAGAACATTTGAAGACTTTATTTATACCAGAAATATCTTGTTAAAATCTGTATACTTTTATTGTACAGTGGTGTTCTGCCGTAAGCTTATTTTTGTAGAACTCGTTACTAATCTGTAACAAACATTCGCCCAGCATTTATAATTTATTTATAAAAATATAACTTTTGAGTATTTTTAAAGAATACTATGGAATTCAGATATTCTTTTCAATTTACATACTTGTTAACTTTGAATCATATCTTTGTTGGCTTTTAACAACATAAAACAACTTTGCTCTTCATTATTCAATAAGCTGTCAATATTTAATTATATCTTCTCTTCATTTTTATATAGGATGTTAGAGACACGGTATTTCGTTCGATTAATGATCAACTGGATTATGTTTGTCGTATGTTACATAAAGATAAAAAACTCTCCAATGGTTTTCACATGATTGGTATATCACAGGGCGGATTGCTTGTTAGAGCATTGGTCCAAAAATGCAATTTTTCGAAAGTCGGCACAGTTGTTTCTATTGGAGGACTTCAACAGGGCATATTTGGGATTCCAAGATGCATCAATACCGGCTTTGTTCCATATTGCTTATGGTTAAATAAGTTTTTATCTGATATAGTGTATACTGAATACATTCAAAATCGGTGAGGTCCAGAGAATTTATTTTGAGGTGTCTTTGTGAATTTTTTAATTTCACTAATTTATTGTATTGTTCACTATCTGGTAAAACCTCCTCACATGGATTTCCTGTATCAAATATATGCGTACTTCTTGACTTAAGCACACCTAGTCCAGTACTGCATTCGGAAACTACACTGCTTAATTGAGATCTTTTTGCATGAATTTTACATATCCCACACCGTAATATAAGTAAGAACATTAAATCAAAATACTGTCATCTAAAAATTTGTTTATTTTAAGTAATATTATAAGTAACATAAAACATCATAGAAATTTCCTTAATATATTCTGCAAGTCTTTTCTAAAATCACTCTAAATCAAAATATTAAATTGTTACAATATTATATACACAGACATGTTATTAAATATCACTTCTTTTTTTCATTTTGTTTACTACATAACAAGCTTTGTCCCGGCACAATACTGGCATGATCCATTTAAAGAAAATGTTTATCGCAAATACTCTCGATTTTTAGCTGATATTAATCAGGAGAATGTAAGTATTGTTGATCACGAATGAATTCGTGTAACTAAAGTCTGAAAAATTTAAAGTTTTACAAACTTTCAATGTCAATAAATTTACATAAGCGAAGAGATTTCACTTGCTTTTTGTATATAGATACTTGGAGACTCACAAATATTCTTGTTTGGCAACTGAAGTGGTAGTAGTAGAAAGTTAAATCAAAAGCAAAAAATTAAAAATATCAGTAAAACTAATCTTTATTCCATATATCTCCAGTGTTTAAAAAGTAAGTCTGATAACGATCACCGTGAATCACTGACCGTTTCAAATATCAAATAACATCTGGGTCGTAATTATTCTGTAATGTAATGCTTTTATTATTCTTCTGCTTAATTACAGCCAGATGTAGTCAACTCGTAGGTGCGAGTACCTTACAATCCACAAGGATACCACGGATTCTATTATTATTTAGCATATTAAAACTAATTAGTTCACAAACCGATATTATTCGGTGTTACGCAAGAATGAATTTAAAGCTAAATGAAATAAATGTATTCTAAAATATTAGTATATAATTAATCTGCTTGTGGATATTTAAACGTTTTCTAACTTTAGACTTCCACTTCATATCCAATATTCAGTTGCTACTGATTACATCTTTTTGTAAACGTCCATAGAATTTTCTGGAGAATTACTGACGAGTTGTCACTTTATCGTTTCATGATCTCAGTAACTTCAGAAAAATCAGTTAAGCAACTATCGTTTTTAACATAGACTTTAATGATTTTAACGTTCTTTTCCTTTTATTTAAGCGAATAAACGAAACGTACCGTGAAAATATGAAGAAAATTCAACGATTAGTATTGGTGAAGTTTACAAATGACACCACAGTACTTCCCAGCGAATCATCAGTATGTATACAAACTACAATATATATAAAGTTACATATATAGTCTTTAAGTTGCTTGTTGTTTCATCTTAGATATGAATATCCTAAATACTACTTCATTAATATTATTTTAAGTCTCTGAGAAATGCTTGACATTTTGAGTTCACGACTTGTCAAATTCATTTTTAAGATATGACGTTGCTGTGAAATCACTTTGAAAGTGATTAATTAGTTACGCTTACATACAAGTTACTGGATGCCGAACAGTGTACTACTTCATAGTAAGGTTTGATCAAATATATCTTTATTAAGCGTCAGGATTAGAATTTAAAGAGTTAATATCCTAAAAACACTTACCAAGTATTCGTTAATTTCGTCATTCATTTAAATGTGGCTAACATATTTTATCTTCTATGTGATCAATTTCCAATGATGTCAGATTATCTATCGTCAAGATTAATATTGAATGAAATCCTAAGATAATTCGATTAGACTATAATACATGAATGACCGTTGACAGGGGCTAAAACGAGAAAATTCACTTACTAAGGTCAGTGTGAGGAACTAAGATTAGGAGTTAGAAATGCAAGTTAAGATTAAGAATTGGTGTTAAAGTCCTCATCATGAATTGACACTAACCATAATGTCGAAATTCGGATTAGCCATATGGATCAATGAATTTCTCATTAAAATCCAAGACTTACTATCTTAAATCTCATTGGTTCGTCCATAAATTATAGTCTTGCTAACAATTCTACACTTACATATGATTTATTAATCTACCAACTTATTAAAACTAAGGTATATAAAAATGTACTAATCATGTATCTTGATGTTTATCAGTGAAAGCTAATACATTTATCTGAAAAATATGATTTGATGTTCTACTAAAAGAAGTTCATTGGTTTTAAATAATACGATACTTACCTGTGTTCCTTGAATTCACTCAATGTATCTCACATATTTATACATATATATTTTTGAAAATTTTTAAAATAATATAGTTAATATTTATGAATTGAATTTTAATTCAGTGGTTCGGATTCTATCGACGTGGATCATCAACAGATATAATAAAGCTACGAGATAGTATTCTATACAACGAAGTAAGTAATCAATTCAAATATACTAACTAAACTTCTGTTTTATGAAGCTTTCCTTCCTATTAGTCAAATCATAAAATTGAACAATAATGATAAAGAGTATTGGTGAAACTGATCATAGTTTGAAAACATTTTTCTGATGGTTGATTCACACAACAAATAAAGAAAATCGAATTCTCTTAAACGACCAACACAGTTTGATGATGCTGATGTATAACAGTTGAAACAGTCAGTTAATCGGACATATGAGATCAATATGACATTTTTAAGGTGGCTATTTATTCCCTTTAAGTTGTATTCTACCTTTAACGGACATGATCATTAGTTTACATAAATAAATTTGTGAGGCGATTAAACAAATTTAACAGAGTTCAATGCAAAAGATTGGTTCAGTGAAGATTTCTCTTTTAGGCGAGTTCATTTTCAAAGCTATATATATATATATATATATATATATATATACCAGTTTTTTTCCGGATAACAATAATAATGATAATAAACTTCTATTATACATGGGGACAGTGAGGTAGAATAAACGAAGGTACGAAAAAAACATTTTTTTAATCAACGAAACTAATAATCGTTTGGTTGTTAATGGCTTAATTATTCATCATAAAGATAAATAGGGAAACTATCTTTAGGAAAGGATGATTCAGCATGGTAAAATAAAATGATGAAATTGAGATTAAATGTAATCAAGAGGATCGTAGAAACAGAAATAAACCAGATTACATTTAATCTCAGTTTCAACATGCTGAGTTATCCTTTCTCAATGATAATTTCCCCATCTATCTTTTGAGGAATATTTAAGCCATTACCAATCAAACGATTATCAGTTTCCCTGTATTAAAAAAGCTGTAATACCTTTGTTTATTCTACCTCACTGTCTCCATGTCTAATAGAAGCTTATTATTATTGTAATTATTATCATCCGGAAAAAAATTAGTATATATATATATATACTTGCGATTGCACAGCTTCGAAAATGAACTCACCTAAAAGAGAACTCTTCACTGAACCAATCTTTCTTATTTATTGTCTTAATGGGTGTATTCCGTTTAGTAAAGTTAAATGTGTCAAGTTTATGCATTCGAAAAAAGTCCCAACTTAACTAAAAAATATGAAGATCAAAGTGAACAAAACTCGTCAAATAAATAAATCAGACAAAGTTTCAGTTAATAGTATAATGATAACAACTGATTATTTTTCGTATTTATCCGTAAAGAAAAACTAGATCAAGTATAATTATTACATAGAAATCAATTAACAAATTATTGTAACATAGTGCAAAACAAATTAACTATCATTATCATCTTCATTGTAAATAATATCGTGACGACGGACCACGGGTGAACTCGCGGAAGCTGTAAAAGGCTCAGAAGGAGCCGAAGATGTTCCATTCAATCATCTTTCGGAAGAATATTCTAGAATTCCTAAGTGTAGCTTCCCGATTGGACAATGCTAATAGCCCCCTGTATGTGGATTGGAGGACTGTATTGATGATTTCGTTCTTACTAAAAACCATAAATACCTGACAATTTTGTACTATGATTGACACTGTTTGGAATAATATTCCTTTCAATTATCTTCTATCTTCTTATTGCGACTTGAAAGGGTTTTTGTGTTCTAGTGTTCTGTCATACGCGCTATATCAAGAAATCAACACTCAGGTTATAACAAACATATTCTTTCAATAAGTATTATTTCCAAACAATTTCATTAAATCTACAATTGATTGATCATTGAATGATGATCCATGTCATGTATGTCAAGTTCTTCTTAGAGCAGATCAAATGTTATCGATCAAGTTGCAATTTGACTATTAGTTTTGTTAGGTTAGAAGCTTCACGAGTTCACTTAATCTGCGAACGAGAACAAAACTCAGTAACCAAAGACCAGTAATCTAGCTATTGATGCGTTCCAGTCCCGCTATCTAGAAGGAGAAGTCCAAGCTTGGTATGGAAAATATATTCTGCAAACAGTCAGAAAACGAGCGAGCGCACAAACACAATTTCAAACGTATATATACACATATATATAATCGATATTGTCATGGGAGATTTTTAAACAACAATCAATGAGTTCACCATCATTTAATCGATAAGTTAATCGATATGATAAAATTGCAAATATGAGTTTTGGGGATAATATCGTCCCCAACAAGTTTGAATCTTTTTATAATTTTATCAAAGTTTTCTTTATCATTTAATTTTCATAAATTTAATTTGTATTTTATAATGTTTTTAATTCATCTTGATATTCACACATATATATTCTTATATTTTTTTTTAAGGATCGTTTAGGACTTAAAGTACTTGATAAAAGAGGTGATTTACATCTTATAGAAAAAACTGGTGAACATTTAAATTTTACTAATCAATGGTTTATTGATAATATTTTAATTCGTTATATGAAATAATATTGACCAGTAAAAATCAATGTTTATTTCAATATTTTTTGTTTGTTTGTTTGTTTTTCTTCCGTAATATTTTTTTGTTAAACAAATAAACCTTTTCTAATCAGATCGTTTTATGGTTTCTCTTCTTCCCTTCGTAAACATATTACACAGCTTATAAAATCAATAAAAATACATTGTGAATATTTGCTTTTTATACTCCTTAGTTACTTCTTATAAGATAATAACAACTTCATTAAAATCTAAACTTAATTAACTCTACTGTTATATTATAAGAAGGGGTTTTTGTTGTGAAGGTTTTTTTTAGAAATTTCAATCGTTGAAATCATGAGTTAATTGAAGCTAGACTGTTGAAAAGTCCTATACTAGGACGAAATGATCACCCAGTGTTTTAAGATTTTCTACAGTGGTCTAGCTTCAATTAACTTATGATTTCAACGATTGAAATTTCTACTGTTATATGCTCATAAATGAAGTATCAGTGTGAATCAGATTTAATCATTTTAATCATAATGTTGTGTAGTTGATTGTTAGTAAATTAGATAAACAAAAGTTAGCTGTTCATAGTTAATACTTTTTTAAGGAAAGTATTTAAAAAAGCTGAAATACAAATCAGTATTTAATGCATGAATTATTATGTTAAATTATCTATACTATTTAAAACATTGAATAAGTAGGTTTTCATTGAAATCTAATACCAACCAAAGTATATCACAATTACTTAATTAACAAGTCATTTGTATGGTAAAATTTTGAGTAAAACATGTGAAACTGTGAATAACCAATAATTTTAAGATCTCAATGGAGGTTTTACTTGAATGCTAACTGTGGGGCTATAATTTATGGACGACGTTTGAGCAACATTAGACCGACCTTGAGAGGGTTTACTTAATAACTACGACTAAATAAGGGCTATAAACCAGTATGAACAATTAGAATCTTTATCTTTAGTTGGTGGTTAGGGTTGGAAATTAGATTTAGGGTTTTCATCACGAAGTGACATCAACTAAAATGTCAAAACTCTATTTAGCTAATTAGATGAAGGAATTTTGCTCCAAAATCCAAGATCTGTTATCTTATATCTGATTGATTCGTTTATGAATTTTAGTTTCGCCGTGTAAACCGCACTCTAAAAAGATTCATGCGATCGGTCGATTCAATCACAATGAAGAATTTTCCTCAAACCATTAAAATCCAATGACTATCATTATAATATTTTTAACTTTATAGAAATTTAAAAGACATCATTAAAAGTACTAAATTGCTACTGAATATTTCAAAAGTTCAATGTTTTACAGAACCCTTGTTTCATCACTTTGTTATCTTCATTGACAAGGTAACATTTATGTAATGAGTCATTACAATTGTGTTTGAATGATATCTAACCTTAATCATTACAAAATAGAGTGAATGAATACTTCTTTTTCATAAAATAATAAATTCTGAAAGGTAGAGGTGTGGTGTGGGTTACTTATACCCACACAAGTAATATATAACGGTGGTCAGGCACAGAATGTATTTCAGTAGAGGGTCGATGAGGAAAGAACGAGAATGGAATCTGAGACAAGGGATTGATGTTTGCAACAGGAACAGTCAAGTTTGATATGATGGATTGATATTTTGAAAATTAACGATTTACTATATGATTCTCAGATTTCATTGAGGTGCTCTGTATTTTCGTGTCAAATACATTCGATTGTCTCCACTGATGTTCTTGTTCACTACTGCGGCATGTATTTAATATAAACATGATTTCCTGATGAAATTAAGTAATTAAATACTTAGTGATCTATAAATTTGATGGAATGGGATGGAACGAGTGTTAGTTTCCATTTCTCCTCTTCAACTTAATCAACTCGATATATTTTCATTCAGTGTGTATAGATTGATGATTGTGGATTGCAATTTTATTTTCTATATAAGTATAAGTTTATATGAACTTAAATTGTTCGACATATATAGGATTTATCAATTACAGTTATAATTGACACAAACTCCTACAAAATGTCATACTTGTTAAAAAGAGATACTACTATGACTGCGTAATATATTGCTAAATTATAAATTATAACACTATAAAATGCTTCACAAAGGCAAATAAACAAAACAATAACCAGTCACTAAATAAACAATACAAAAATAGAATATTTTTTAAAGAAAATGAAGAGTATAGATAAACATAAAAATCTTTAGTTAAAATTAGAAAAGGTAAATCTTCCAAGGCAATCACAAGAATAATCAAACTTTATTAGAGTTGCTAACATCAATTTAGGGACGATAACCACTAACACATTTTTTTAATATCTTTATCATGAGCTTGAAGAAACCGATACATGTTTTTGCACTCACTTCTTGCTGGTTACGTGTATTCTGTAATGCCCAGTGTAGTAGTAGTCAAGCTACTCAACTGCAATAATTCTAGTTAGTTTAGCAGTCATTTGTAGATTTGTATATTCAGCTATATGGACTTTGGATACTAACAGCTATCACACTACCAGGTAGGAGGTTGGTTGATTACAATGAGAAAAGGGAAAGTGATGATAAGGTTGCCAAGAGAATACAATCGTCTCAAGGATGGATAAATAATTCACCTAATAGGTATTGTGTAGGAAGACACAATAGAATGAATAAGAGGGGAACGGAGAGGACAATAAGAAGTATAAAAACAAGTTGTTGAGATGACATAATGACGACAGTATGTAAGTTTTGATACATTCACTAGATGCAACTGATCCGAGAGGGAAATGGCAATCTATGAGTGAGTACGTGTTTATCAAGTCTCCTCCTAAAGCTATCCACTGAGGATGCTGTGCTCACTTCAGCTAGGAGAGCATTCCAAATGGTTACAACTCTTAATGAGAAATGTGAGAGCATAATTGACTGTTCGTTCTTTGACGTTCAGTATTTCGAGTGGTATCTTGAGCAGAGTGGTGGTGATTTTCTATTAATATGTTGGTGTTGGGGTATCTCGGAATACTTAATATTTTGTATGCCGATATCAATTTACTTCTTATTCTCCTACAGCTGGATGAGGAAATTCTCAGGTCCTGGAGTCTGTCTTCAAAAGATTTGTGCTTCCACCCTATTACCCACTTGGTTGCCCAAACCTATACTTGGTGTAAGAGATTTACATCTATTTTGAAGGGAAATGACGCGGTGGTATTGTGAACCTCAAGGTGGGGTATATCATATGTTTTAGACAGTGTTGGGAACAACTGTGTGGTGAATATGCGTAGTTATCTCTACATTTCGTGGAGAGTTGCATTTGGCTTGGCTTCATCTTCTGTGCTTAAAAGCCTGAGATTAATTTTTGTATAGGCGACCGGGAGCGGATTCTATGGAGTGTGATTGTGTGGTGGCACTGTGTCAAATTATGAAGAATTTTCATGACATGGCATTTCGACAAGTTAAGTACCAACCTATTGTTTACTGTCCATTCTTCTATTATAACAACGTCCGTTAGAAGCCCAAGTGAATAATTTTTGCTATTTACGAACCTGCAGGTCTTTGTGTCGTCTAGACAAATCAGTGCCGACGAGTTGGCTATATCAGGACGTTGGCTAGTAAATATGAAGGAGAGGAGTAGACCTAAGATTGTTCCTTGTGAAATGTCTAGTGGCCAGACATCCCACCTCACATGCACTGTATTTAGTTTGCAGACTTTCTTCTGATCATCAACCTGAAAAAAACATTTGTTAGTAACCTGCGTTTTGTCTGCTAGCTTGACGTGTAAATATCTCCTTTCACTGTGGACTTTGGAGTTGCAAATTTTTCTCACTGAAACTCCCATGTTACTGTAACTGAAAATTCAACCTAAATAACTATTAAAGAAGCTTATACACCTTAAGACACAATCAAATCTAAAAGAAGTACTCGATGAGGAAAAATCCCACTTTCCTTTTTTTAAATAGTGCTCTTAATATGAATCTATGAATATGAATCTTAAAAGTTATAACCACGAGGTAGTAAACAACAATGAAGGAAAGCTGTAAAATTTCATGAGGAGAGAAAGATTTTCGAGAAAGGAATGGTGCTAAAGTGATCATAAGAATAATAGGATTTTATTAGGATTAGTATAATCTTTTCAGGAACGCTCACCACTCACACAATTTCTTCCGATCCGAATTCTCTCATAACCTTTGCCCTCCGATTGGTTACCATTATTTCCAGCTCGCTAAATTTCTGCATGCTTTAAGGTCATATTTTGCTACTTTTGTAGCAACAGTTAAACCAGTTCGTTTCGTGTTGCTTGTCCTACCTCGAATATCAAATTCCTTCTAATCCGTTTCCTTCTTATCTTAGTCGTCAGGAATCTGATGTGTTATGTGTGAACAGCCATTGTCGATTTCAAAGAGAACTGATCGCATTGGAGTAGCCTAATCGTATTGTCCCTAGATCTGTAAACATCTTAGGTCAGTAATGGACCTCAATAACAAAATACAATAACATACAACCATCTAAAGCTGACTCATCATTCTCGAGTGATCTCGCGTAGCGAAACTTGAAGCTTCTGATTTTAATCTTAACGGGTTCTATGCATATCCAGAACTAAGAAGTCTCATACTATGACGAAATAGTTATGTAGCGTTTTCTAGAATTAACAGTCTATGATATTAGCTGTTAGAATTCAATAATGTTCACAAATCATATATACTAATAAAACTAACAGTGAGAAAAATAACAGATTTTTGTAGAATTTACAAGCAACAAACAAATAAATTTATTTGTATCATTGTAAACACTGTCGTTTAAAGCCATTAATATTTGGGTTTTTGTTGTTATTTGCGTTCTCAGTTATAACTGAATAGTACTTTGCTACATTTTCTGTATTGTGTATGTCTTGATTTTAACGTTTACTTAAATAGGTAAATGTTCTGAAAACATGACTTTATTTTCATAATTCTAATGTAATAATTTCTATTGAATTGTTTAGTGTTGGGGAGGTTAGATTCCCAGAGCTCATTTGATAAATGCCTTATCTTTGTAATTCTATTTCAAAAAGTTTAAATTCCTTGTTTTCGCACCAAAAGCACCCATTATCAACTTTATGTTGTATTTCCCACTTGGGAGGAATTTAAACACTATTTGTTCGTTATCTCTTTTAGTATGCTATTTTGTAACGTTTTCCAAT